TCCATGTTTAATGAGACTTGGTTAAATGTTAATGCATCCACTTGAGAGTAACATGATAGATTTGGCTAAGATAACTTGAAGTGACTTGGTGATGCATCCCTGTGTTTATTAAATGATTGTGTACTTGTTGTGTTACTTGGAGCCTTTGGTATGTCATTGCTCAATGTTACATGAATCAATGATTATGTGTTTAATTGATAAAAAAACTTGATGAATTCAGGTTACATGTTTGATTAAAGTTAATTGGCTATGTGTTATATTACTTGATTGCATCTATGCCATGAAAATGTTTTCATTGTGTTTTATGCACTCAAAGACAAAGATAAGTACATGGTTTTCAAGATAGGATCATGGCTAGACATGTTCAATCTTCTTACACAAAGAAAATGATCAACTCTCTGTGGGTGTTACATACTCTACAGGGGACATGTCTAGTGCTTTTCATGGGTTTTCATAGACATGGTCTTCATGGAGGATCAAATACATATACATTCGGCAACGTGCGTCCGAATCATAAAAAATGCATTTCAACGTCATGAAAATGTTTTTTTCTTGCATCATGCATGATTACGATTCTCGAGTTTTAGCTCATTAATTATCTTATGATGTAGGTGAACCAAGTAATGTGTGATGATTTGATGTGAAGTTGAAGATGATGCCGTGAGGAGCTAAGCTTGTCGAATGTGTGCTATAACTATTAGTTTAAAGTTATAGGTTTAAATATTTCCTATCTTTTGTCTTTGAGGTCGTTTATAAGCTTATAATACTTGTCATCTTTCGGATGTTAATAAATAAATGGTTTTGGATGTTTATGATTCAATTATATGCTATGACATGTTTAATAAAATAGTTATCTAAAACAACTTAATAAAATGGTTTAGTACATCTAAGAAGAATTAATAAAATGACTTCCAAGGTTGAATACAAATTTTTCTATTATCATGCTTAAAATGGTTTCAATGGCCAAATGTTTTATCAACTTTAAATTGGTTTACATGTAAATAATAATTCGATTGTAAAGTATTAATATTTGAAATGGTTTAAAATTGTTTAAGTGTTTTATGGAATTTAAACATGGAAATTGCTTTCAATGAGTTTAACTCTGCATTTTTGTCTTAGTCTACAAACCAAATTGCTTTCCATTGTGTTTTGTATTTTAAATATAAAAAGAGGACATAAGGCTTAATATCTTCTATTCATTGCACTTCAAGTGCGAGACATTGTCAATATCATTCTTGATCTTAGTTAGGTTAAGGGTGTTATAGAAGGATGACTCGAATCCGGGTTGTACAAGATGAATTGAATAGAAAAGTTTATTGTTTAATTTTATATATTTATTGGTTGATCCAGTCCCATTTTTTGTAGTAGTAATTTTTTAAACACAAGCACGTGATAATCGAGCTCGCATCACGGTTCTACATGTGTATTTAACGGTTATATCAATCTTGAATTAGCAGAACCACTCAAATAAAAAAAGTCGCAAGTTAGTATACTTAAATAATAAATGTCAAAGTTTACATAATTAAATAAAAAAAAATGATAAGTTTTGTACAAAAAAAAATGACGAAGGGCTCATATGTCGATGCCATATGTGTAATTAACGATCATACCGAGCATAAAATTAATAGAAGTTAACGAAAATACTTGATTAGAAAAAAATTACAACTTAGTTTACTTAAATAACAACGATTAAATAGTACACACTTAATTAGAAAAAAATAAGTTAATAAACCAAAAATGTAATTAACTAAAAAAAAAAGAACAAGCGACCTAAGCTTTTGGGCCTATAGAAGCAAACATACGCCTTGGGGCTTGAAGAAGTAAGCTCGTTCGACTTTATCATATATTAAAAACAAATGGACGGTGGATTGCTTTTATCGTGCATAGTAGATGATGTGTCGTCTATCCGTAACTTCCAATGAACTTGAGTTTGCTGAAACGTTTATGGAAAATCAAAATTTATAGTTTTCGTCGTTCAAAATCCAATTCATGCATTATTTTTTGTCCTTAAACACCCACGAAACCATTGAAATAAAGTTAGCAAACTCACTTGATACATGAAACAAAAATTAAAAAATTAAAATCAAATCAAATTTAAAATATTTTTGAATTTCAATGTATCTTTTCTAATAATTTTACGGCTCCCTCCCTCTTCTCTTTTCTCTTTCTTATTTTTCTCTTCTCTTTACACTCGGGGACCATACTCGCAAAACGAATGAAGTTGAAGTTTAAAAACGAAACAAAAGATTTGAGAAATCAAGAAATAAAGTGCTATATTTGGTAAAACACACATATAAATAGTTGAAGATAGATTGGGAAAAAAAATGTCAATGCACGGTAAAATACACAATAGGATTATGCGTACAAAGTACAAATGATCGTGCTTGAATAGAAAAAGATAGAATAATATGTATGAATGAAAATTTTGTTTTAATTTCTTGCATAATAACCTAATAACTCGCTTTAACTCCAAACTTAGCTAACTTATTTACGCGAGAGTTAGCCCAATCGTAGGAGTTGCAATATCTCGATTCTCTACCTTCCAATCTTTATATACCATACAAAAATATTGATAGTAGATAAAACATAACATTAAAAAAAATAATACAATCGATTGAATGCAAAATACGAAGTCATAAAAGAAATAAAAAATGATATCATGCTATCAATATTTGCTTTATAACTATATATTAATTTAGAGATCTAAAATTTATATTATCTTTATAATTATGAAGAAGGATTCATGAAGGTTTTTTTTTTTTTTTTTGGTTTCTTTCAATTTAAATTATTGCCACATATCTCGTTTGCCCTATTGTCCATGTTTCTTGCTTTATGGCAACCCATAACTTTGGTTTGTGGCATATCCACCCCTAATATCGATTTATGCTTCTAGTTTGGATGAAATGCACAAACCCACCCTCCTCCAATGAGAGGTCGTAAGAAAAATAAAAACATTCCTTGATAATCCACTCGTTTAGACTTATTAAACTTGACTTAAATAAATAAATAAATAATATATTTTGGTGTATAAAAACTATTATGAAAATACCTTAACCATTATAAAAAAAAGAAAAAGAAAAAAGAAATAAAGAGTTTCGATGTGGCCTATGACCATTCAACAAAAAATGTAAAAGAATTTAGAATAACTCAATAAGAGGGTACATCACTAGGTTTCATTACTAAAAAAACTAAAGGATCCGAGGGTGTCATTGTTTATTTACCGTAGCATTTTTTTTTCTTTTTTTAAAAGGTTATAAGCCTAGCCAGTACGTTACATTTTTTAGAGTCGGCCGAGCTCACGAGCTCGCATAAGCAATCCCAACCGAGCCTTTACCTTCTTTTTTTTTTTTTTTTTCTCTTTTAATAATTTATTTTTATATTTTTATCATGAAATTAGGTGTGAAAATATAACAAAAGATTGTTATTTTTTTTTGATTTTACGTACGGTTTGACTATAATATAATATATATGATATTTTATTTTTTAGATTTTAGTTTGAACATATATATCTAATTATGTTATTTTTATTGTTTAAAATTTATTTATTCGGTTGTTTGTTTCTTATTAAAATTCTCATCGGATTTTTTCATTTTATATAATTTTATTTGTTAATAAATTTAATTTTTTTTATATATGGATTTTAAAATATGATTGTTTTTTTTAAAATATATTATTATAATTTACATGATTTATTATTATTTTTTTATTTTTAAATGAGAGTAACGTAATTAGATGTATAAATTTTGATGAGAGAGAGAGAGAGAGAGAGAGAGAGAGAGAGATAAAAATGTGTTTTAAATAATTTAGCTCATTTTTTTAAAAAATAATAATAAGTTAAATAATAGTTTGACTCAATTTTTTTTAAAAATAATAATTAGTTAAAAAATTCACATGTTTTATTTGGTTATATATATATATATATATATTATGATGTGAGAGAGAGAGAGCTAAAAGTGTATTTTAGATAATTTGACTTAATTTTTTTAAAAAATAATAATTAGTTAAAATAATAATTTAACTCATTTTTTTTTTAAATTGATAATTAGTTACAAAAATTCACGGGTTTTATGTATATCTATAATCAGAATTTATCAAAACCAAATTTATAGTAGTTTTTATTTAAATCTATTCATTTCGATATATTCCATGCGATTTAAGTGAGTTTTATTTATTTATTTATTTTTACATAATCTGAATCTATTAAGTACAATGTATATATAGTTTTGTTAGAAATTAACTATATTTGCACACATGATACCAATTATTTATTATTTATTTTTTTTCATATTCTAAAATCTGTATTTTTAAATGAAATAATTTAATTAATATTTTAAAAAACCTCTTAATTATTCAAATATAAATTTTTATAATAAAAATTATAAATTATTTTGTTAAAAAATATATATAAATCAAATAATATATAACTTTGATTTACACCATATGAATTGTTAATTTTGTATATATAATAATTGTTTAATCACAACGTATTGCAAATATCTAACTAGTTATACACTAAAGGCAAACAGCCACCAACGGCATAATAACTTTTTGGAAACAAGAGGGTTGATATTGAAAAATTCTAAACTACAGCTATTGAAGTGTAGCCTTTCCGAATTATATGAGATTGAAAATCTAGTTTACCATTATACGGATTACATAATGGGCTTAGCCTTTATAAAGAGGGTCTATAACACTGAACCCAGTTAGCCACACTAGCCCACAACCTCAGATTGCCTTTAAAGCCCCCTCTCGCTCTCATTCTCAAACCCTAGAGAGTATTTTGTCCAGCGCAGCCGCAGGTTTGGGCACACTCAGAAGCAACTAATCTCAGATCTTATTTCCACAAGGTAAACAATATTTTCCTCTCCTCCAAATCCCAATTATTTCTCCTTATCTATAGATGCATAGATAGATGCAATCGTTCTACTTTTTTGTGTGTTTGAGTTGATAATTGATGATTTCTTATATATATTTTTTATTTTTTTAATAGTTTAATAACAATGTCCATCAGCGAGCAAGCTTGCAGTTACGCTGCTATTATTCTCTACGATGATAACATCTCCATCACTGTATCCTTCAGACCCTAGATATATAATTTTAATGTTTTTGGGTTTCGTAATTTTTAACAAGTTTATAGGGTTTATGAATTTATTCATTTTCTTGAAGCGGATCTGTGCATGCTCTTGTATTCTTTAACTGTTGTTAACAGGCAGAGAAGATTGCAACAGTGGTGAAAGCAGCCAATGTGCAAATTGAATCTTACTGGCCAGGTTTATTTGCTAAGCTTGCTGAGAAGCGCAACATTGAGGATCTCATCATGAATGTTGGCTCTGGTGGCGGTGGTGCCGTTGCTGTTGCTGCCCCAGCTGATGGTGCTGCAGCAGCTGCTGCTCCTGCCGCTGAGGAGAAGAAGAAGGTAAAAATACGTATATGTCGTATTTTTTATGAATTTAGTGGTTGCTGTTTGTGGTGTTTGAGTTTTCTAACTGTGTTGAATTTGATTAATTGTACAGGAAGAGGTTAAGGAGGAGAGTGAGGATGAAGACATGGGATTCAGCTTGTTCGATTAGGAGCTCCTTCCAGAATGCCCTAGTCCTCTGTTACTTTTAGTAGTTTAAAGTAGTTACCTTTTTGGACCATTTTGCAGTTTGTCATTATAAATATTTTTATTGGTGAATGTGAGACTTTTTGGAGAATCCTGGATTTTAATCTTCATAACTTGGTGCTTCCAGATATAACAGAAGTATTTTAGATGAGTTTTGATTTTTATGTTATTGCCTGAGTTTTGGCTTTCTGTGTCACCGATGGTGGGTTTAATTACTTGCTTTGATTGCTTCAGCAGATAGTGTCATCAAGAGCTACATTGCCTTAAAAATGGTTTTGATTAAAAAAATTTCTTCCAAATGTCTTCTTAGGCATCTTGGACTGGTTTTGTAATCCAGATTCCTGTTTTTGCTTTCTTGGTTCAGACTTTAGTGTTTATCTATACTATCATATTATTCTCATGCATTAAGCATCCTTGCATCAGCCTGTAGATACTTTATGATTTGTTTTAACTTTTATTTTTGCATTTGCATATCTTTGTTTAAATATTTTGCCACTGAAGAAGACTAGAATAATTGCCATTGTTGATCCTTGGTAGTTGATATTCTTCTCTGTGTGTATTGGAATGCATCCTTGGCCGCCAGTAAATGTTTTGTTTAGTTCTACATAAGTTTGCTTTGCATGCACGTATATCCTTCAGTCAAGTGCTGCTCTTGTAATGTGCGAGGTGAGCAGGAAGTGTTTCTCTCGATGGAACCTGCCTGCTTGCCGCATGGGTGGGGGTGCCTTTGAGGGTGGCTTAGGGTCACAAACCAGTTTCTTTAGAGTTTGTCACACAGAATTGCAGCTTACCTTATTTATCGGACAATCTTGAGGAAGTTCGAGGTCCTACCTTTGCCTTACTCTCTACAATTTGGTGGAATACGGTACCTTTTAAATTTTTAATATCGTTTGCTCATTCCTTTTCCCTTATAAATGTTATCATCATAATATGTAACTTTTATTAGGTAAAGGTCTATTTAATAGATTACCATGGATAGGTTCAGTTGAGCCATCGAGAATATAAGAAGAAAAAAAGAAGGTTGTTAATTCGATAATAGATTATTGTATTTTATTATGGGGCTAAAATAAACTTTAGGGTTTAGACCCTTCATGCACCAATATGCCATTTGTTGGAAGAAAAAAATACCATGGGAAAGTTAGAACAATTGAAAATTAGACATTTGCATTAGTTGACGGATCTGTAGGAAATTAACGAAGCATTTGTCGCATGAAGGTTTCTTATAGGTGTCTCTGTCGGAGTTACTATTAGCTTCAATGTTTGGAATTGAAATACTAATGTTAGTGAGTCCTATGATCGGTTGGTTGGATATAGAGTTTCGGCTAATGATTTGTTTGTGCTGCGCCAAACAAGGTAGATCCTCTCTTTCGGCGCAGTGGATCTTCCGCCATGCTAGCATGCCTCGGTTCGAACCAATATTAGTTAGGCTAAACTACTGGATAAAAGAAAACAAGAAAAGAAAAGAAAAAGAAAAAGTGCTAAAAAAGAATGACTAGTTTGTTTGCCACGGTGAGAATCGTTGTCCGTAGCAGCTTGTGTTCACTTAATCGGAACAGGATGTCTGATTTAGGTTGTGTTGTGCGTGTGGGTGGCAAAGTCTGTGGTTTGGGAAGGGCATAATTTGGACGAGCTGAACTAAAGCTTAATTACATAAATTTAATTGTTAGCGTTTGGTTTTAGTTGAATAAATTCAACATGTATTTGGTATGTTAAGTTTCTTGCAAAAGGTTGGTTCAAATGGTAAGGAAAAATCTTTAAAAGTTTTGAATTCAACCACTCATTGATTTTTTTTTAAGAAATAATATACTTATGCTGGATTCGATTTGAATAGGATGGAAGTTAGAGTTTGGTTTCTTACAAGAGATTTCAAAAGGTTGGTTCAAATATTAAAAGATTTATTTAGTTTAGAAATTACAAATTCAAGTTTCATTATTGATGTTTTTTTCCTTTCCTAAATAACATATTTATGTTCAATTCGATTTGAATGCAATAAGATTGTTTTTATAAATGTAACTAGTCTATCTTTCCGTGTTGCGAAATGAATAAAATTTGCTTATTTCAGTTTAATAATCTATATTATGTTTTTGGTCAAGTAAAATATACACAATTAAAAGTAAAAGAAAAAAGTTTCATCAAATTTCATAATTTTTTTAAAAAAGTTGTATTTAATTTATTCTTCTTTATGTTTTTTCATAAATTTTGTAATTAAAAAAAAAACGATTCTTATTATTTAAAATTAATATCTTCAATTTGTCATTTCTTATGAAAACTCTTATCAAATTAATTTTTTATTTTTTCTATAATTTAATTTGTTAATAAATATAATTTATTTTTTTAATGTATGGATTTTTGAATAATGTTATTTCAATAAATGATCGATTAAAAAAATAAAATTCACTTGTTTTATCCATTTATTTTTTATATAATTAAATATATCAAAATCAATTTTGTAGTTATTTTAATTGCAGTCTACTAACTTCATTATATTTCTTACAACTTAAGTTTTTTTTTTTAATTATTTTTTGATTTATGTTGCATATTCTAACCTTCGAATACTTGTCATGATATATATATATTAAAATTAAGGAAGTATCTACACACATGACATTAGCTATTTACTATTAACTTTTTTAATATTGTAGAATTGATTTTGTAATTTTTAATCAAATATTTGTATTTAATTTATTTTTCTATGTTTTTTTTAATATAAATTTTATAGTTAAAAAAACACGATTTGTTCTTTCTTATGCATTCGCTCTTGAATAAAAAACTATAATAATTTAACTAAAAATATATATTATCAAATTTTAAAAAAATCTATTTTTTTCATAAGTTTGCATCAAAAAATAAAACAAAAATTAATATAAAAATTAACTAATGAATCTTTTTTATTTATGTTTAATGTTGATAAGAAAAATAACTTTTGAAAAATATATACATTTAATTTATATATATTTATTTAAAAAATAATCTATAATATTAATATAAAAACTGCATTTGAATTATTAAGTTGTTCTTCTAAAATATTATTTTAATATTTTATTAGAAAAAATTAATTCTAGAATATTAAAAAAAATCAACAACAAATAGTTGAAGTTATCCGTATAGATGCATAGTTAATTTTTAATAAAGCCAATGATCTGAATTTTTTTTTATATATCGTGATCATCCTTAACGAGTTAGAATCTAAAGAATATTTATTTTAGAAAACTATTTTTTTAGAAAAAAATTAAATTGTAAAAAATATATTGAAGTTAATAGACTGCAATAAAAACAACTATAAAATTGATTTTAATAAATTTTGATTATATAAAGAATAAGCAAATAAAACAAATAAAATTTATTTTTCAATTGATTATTTATTTTTTTTAAAAAAATATTCAAAAATCCGTAGAGAAAAATAAATTATATTTATTAACAAATAAAATTATAAATTAAAAAGATTAATTTTAAATAATAAAAATAAATGAATAATATAATCCGATATATATATACAAAAAAAGGCAAGCATGTGTGCTTGGTTATCAAAGAATCAAAATGGAATATGATGTCAAATTTATATGTGAATGCCCAAAAAAAACTAGAAAATCAAAATAATACTATTACATAATAAAAGTAAACAATGCACATGAGCCTAAGTGAATATTTAGCATGAATTTAAATGAATAGTGAATAATAAATAGTAAGAAATGCTATTCTTATAATATTTGTAATAATAATAGGAATGCTTTCACTATGGGTAAATATGAAAAACATAAAATGATGTAAATATAGAAAACATAATATTTATGTTAGATGCATAATCAACCTATTTATACATTCAATCTTCAAAATAAGAAATTTCTATAAAATGGTATCAATTCCATACTCGTATTACCGTAAAAGTCCAATTAAACTAGTTTTTATCACTGGCATATAAAATTTGTTTAAGTAAGAATTTATACAAGGAAGCTCTAGCGGCTGTCTACCTCGGAACAGTTCAATAGCTCAGCATGAGAGGAAGTAGCGAGAAGTAAGAATTTAATGACAAAGCTTCTTCTTCTTCGTCATCTGTCACATAAATGAACAAACATTCTACTTTGCTAGATAGAAAATAAGCATGACTAAGAAACTAACGAGTGCCAAACTCCATATGGAACTCGACCTCGACTCCTTCCTTGATTCTCATTCCTCCTCCGATTCTGACACCGATTCCACCTCCGTCCCTCACCGCACTCTTGACGAAATCCTCAACGACTCCGATTCCTCAACTCCTCCTTCATCCCCACCGTCCATCGAACCTCGCCTCCAGTCAGATCTCTCTATCTCCCACCACGACGACGCCTCACTAGAATCGGTACAATCACAAATTCTCCCTGATAAATCCGATCAACTAAAATCCACTCTACGCACTCGAATTACTAGTTCACCATGGAGCCTCCCTCCTCTGTCTTCGTCTTCTTCTTCTTCTACTTTGAGACAGTTGCCATCGCTTTTCGGTGGAGTGAGATCGAATGCGAAGCCAGGGGCAGCGCTTGCGGCGGCGGCGGCTGCCTCTCGGTCGGTTCCGACACCGCATGCCGCCGCGATCAAGTCGAGGAGATTGAGCGGCGGGAGTGGAACCTTCCAGAAGATTCTCGATATTGCAGAATCAGGCTCCAATGCTGGGGATGATCACGAAATTGTTTCAAATTCGTCGAACGGAGACTCAATTGAAAGAATTCAATCTCAGTCAGATGAGAACATGAGTGAATTTCAATCTGCTACAGCAGAGAATGCGATTTCGAATAGAGAGGAGGATTTGGAGATTTCACGTGAAAGTGAAGAGGGGCCGGTTCTTCAAATTGATCAAATTGAGGAGGAAGTAAGAATCAGTAATGATAGTAGTCAAGATGGGTTGAATGCTACTGGTTTGACCTCGAATTCTGATGATAACTTCAATTTAGAGGATGAAAATGTAGCTACTGTTTCTAAAGACAACGATAAAACTAATTTTTTGGAAGCCCGTGATTCCAATGAAACGGATATTATTGACTCAAATAAGGTCGATTCGTATCAAGATGATGCAGTGGAAGGAGAGAGAAATAATTTGGAAGAAAGTATGGGTAAGGCAAATGATGATCGGGTAGGTGTTTCTACTATTGGCGATGGTGATGATGTAAGTTCAATAAGTGATATTTCGGAGCTTGTAGAGGAGAGAATCGAGCAATTGGAGAGTGAGATGATTAATAAAAGGGCGGGGAAGAGGCAGAAGTCTAGTTTGAAGCCGCTTGAATTGGCTGAAGAACTTGAGAAAAGAATGGCGTATACTGGATTGCATTGGGAGGAGGGTGCGGCTGCTCAGCCTATGAGACTTGAGGGTGTTCGAAGGGGGTCAACTACTTTAGGATATTTTGATGTTGATGCTCATAATGTTATCACGCAAACTGTTGGTTCTCAAGCATTTAGGAGAGATCATGGCTCACCTCAAGTTTTGGCAGTTCATCTTAACTACATTGCAGTGGGAATGTCGAAGGGTGTTGTTGTTGTCGTCCCTAGTAGATACTCTCCTCACAATGATGATAAGATGGACGCGAAGGTTACTTCTGTTCACTCATATATTGCTTATAGTTGTTTGTGGCTTTTATTTTGCTTCTTTTTACTAGTGTATGTCTTGCCTTTTGCTTTCCTTGCTTTTATTGAAAAATGGATGGATTTGAAAAATATTCAGAGGGTGCTGTTAGAAATGTGCTTTCTGAAATATGAGGTATTATTTTCATAGAAGCAATGTAAAATAAAGAAATCCTAGACCCAGGAGTAATTTGAAGGACTTTCATAAATATACTTACATGAGATTATAATGTTTCTTCTTTGAAGTTGTACCTTAGGCATGGGTTTAATTGCAATGCATGCCAAAAAAAAAAAAAAAAATTGCAATGCATGCACAAAATCTTTGTTTTCTGTAATCAGGGGACTCTTCTGACTCCTGCCTGCTTGAAAATTCAATGCTATCGAAACCAAACATTTAATGCCGACTGAATATCCAATTTTCAAGGAAAATTACAGCTGCAAAACATTGATCTGTCATTGTCAATCTTTTGCAAATTAGGTTGCTCATCCTACTCTTTTTTCCAGATGCTAATGCTTGGTTTGCAAGGTGATCGATCTCAAGCCCCAGTGACTTCCATGTGCTTCAATCAGCAAGGGGACATGCTCTTGGCTGGTTATGGAGACGGTCACATTACTGTTTGGGATGTCCAGAGGGCATCAGCAGCAAAAGTTATTACTGGGGAGCATACCGCATCAGTTGTGCATGCATTCTTCCTAGGCCAGGACTCTCAAGTTTCTCGTCAGTTTAAAGCAGTTACTGGTGATAGTAAGGGTCTGGTTCTGTTACATGCTTTCTCGGTGGTTCCTTTGCTTAACAGGTTCTCCTTCAAAACGCAGGTAAAGACATCATTCTATGCTACTGGTTCTTGCCCATGCCTTGCAGTAATATGTGCTAATCTGAGTGAGCACATGGTAGGCGTTTGTCGTACTTGCCAAATTAATGACTAGACGTTAATTGATTGTTATAGTGTCTTCTTGATGGACAAAGAACGGGAACAGTGTTATCAGCTTCACCCCTTCTTTTTGATGAATCTTGTGGAGGTGCTTTGCCAGCTTCACAAGGAAATTCTTCAGCATCGTCCACCAGCATTAGTAGCATGATGGGGGGTGTAGTTGGGGGAGATACAGGTTGGAAACTATTCAACGAGGGCTCTTCTTTGGTTGAAGAAGGTGTGGTCATATTTGTCACTCATCAAACTGCTTTGGTGGTATGAAGTCCTCAGATGATTCTGCAAATTCCATGTACCTTTTGTCATGTGAATTAATGTTTGCTTATTTGTGGTGTTTATTCTTCACTATGTTTTGAAACCATGCCTTTGTTACAGGTCAGGCTCAGTCCTAGTTTGCAAGTATATGCACAAATTTCTAGGCCAGATGGAGTTCGAGAGGGTTCCATGCCTTACACTGCATGGAAATGTACCACACAATCCCACAGTTCATCAACTGGTATGGCCTGATAGAGTTCCTTAAATTTCAAGTGCACAGTATTCTAAAAAGAATTTGTTGCAGACAATGTTCCAGAACATGTGGCAGAGAGAGTTTCATTGCTTGCAATTGCTTGGGATCGAAAAGTGCAAGTGGCAAAGTTGGTCAAATCAGAGTTAAAAGTTTATGGAAAATGGTCCCTTGACAGTGTAGCCATAGGTGTGGCTTGGTTGGATGATCATGTATGTGTGTAGTGTTTTTTTTTTTTTTTTTTTTTTTTGTCTCATGCAAATCTATTTGCTTCTAGTTTGTTCACTGTTCATTTGTCTTCGCATTCTCCACTATACTTGTGCATGCTCCATGGTTTATTTTTATCTGTAAAACTCAAGTCCATAAGATTTTTTTTCCCCTCCGCCAGATGCTGGTGGTACTCACATTAACAGGACAACTACATTTGTTCACAAAGGATGGCACTGTGATTCACCAAACTAGTTTTGCTGTTGATGGTTCTGGGGGAGATGACGTAGCTGCATATCATACACACTTAATCAATATCTATGGGAACCCAGAGAAAGCTTATCACAATTGTATAGCTGTAAGAGGAGCTTCTGTATACATACTTGGACCAACACATCTTATTGTTTCCCGCCTTCTCCCATGGAAAGAGCGTATTCAGGTTCTGCGTAGTGCAGGTGACTGGATGGGTGCCTTGAACATGGCAATGACGCTTTATGATGGCCAAGCTCATGGTGTTGTTGATCTTCCTAAATCGTTGGATGCTGTAAAGGAAGCCATAATGCCGTATCTGGTAGAGTTGCTTATGTCGTATGTGGATGAAGTATTTTCTTATATTTCGGTGGCCTTTTGCAATCAAATTGGGAAAGTGGAACAGCAAGATGACTCAAAGACTGGAAGCAACTCGGTGCACTCTGAAATAAAAGAACAATTCACACGTGTTGGTGGTGTTGCTGTAGAATTCTGTGTCCATATAAAGCGGACTGACATGCTTTTTGATGAAATTTTCTCCAAATTTGTCTCTGTTCGACATAGAGGTACATAAAATTCCATACTTATTTGGTTAAGTCTGGATTTTGAACTTTGACTGCTCCACCATGTTGCAATTTGGAATTCATCAATTACATGCCAGTTGTGTTACATCTCTCTGTCACTCCTTGAGGCTTGAATTTTATAGACTCCACATTGAGACATATGGTAAACTATTAAAGCATCCTCTCCTGTGTTGTTCATTTGTGCCTGCTTCAGTTTTCCTGTTAAGGGTGTTCCCCTTAACTATAATTAATGCTATGAAGTGCATGTAGTTTTCTATAAATTGATGCTGCAAAGTGCATGCAGTTTTCGTTTTATTTTGATGCTACATAAAATGATTATCTTGTTGAGTGGAGTCTTAGTAGTTGAATCTTTATTTTTCTGTATTTTAGATACATTTTTGGAACTTTTGGAGCCATATATATTGAGGGATATGCTTGGATCTCTACCTCCTGAGGTATCACTTGATTTTTAATGTTTAGTTTACTCTCATTGATTTCTCCAATCTGGTTGCTAACTAGTTCACAGTAATTGTCTTCTCCTTCATCTTCCCATTCTTCCTCAATTTAAAGATTATGCAAGCCTTGGTAGAGCATTACAGTAGCAAAGGGTGGTTGCAGCGAGTTGAGCAATGTGTCCTTCACATGGACATTTCCTCCTTGGATTTTAATCAGGTTTTTTCTTAATTGTTACCTTGTTCAGCCTATGTGTTTGTTATAATATTATCACCAAGAATGGTGATTAATCATTAAAATCGTCTTTTAGGTTGTTAGGCTATGCCGGGAACATGGATTATACGGTGCCCTGGTGTATCTTTTCAATAAAGGATTGGATGATTTCAGGACACCTTTAGAGGAGCTATTGGTTGTCTCTAGAACTAGTCAAAAAGAGACTGCTGCTGCCCTTGGGTACATGGCCTTAACCTCTGACAGATTCAATAAATTAAATCTTGAATGTTGTTGAGTAAATTGTTTTCTACTACTATGTAGATGTCATCTTGCATTAAATATATCACCTATAAGCTTATCAACACAGCAGAGATTTTCGCATATTAGGTTTTGACTCAGGAAAGTTTGGTGCATGGATTTAATTTTCCTACGGGAATGTAAATATGAGAATCAATTCACATAAAATTATAGAATCCCCAAGAAAATGAATTGCATCAATTTACCTTCTAATTATCTTTAATTAAAAAATAAATCGTAAGTTGATTCGTTTACCCTAGGCTCATCTATTCTGTATGGCTACCCATTACTACTGAACTCAATAACAGGTACAGGATGCTTGTTTATCTGAAGTACTGCTTTTTAGGACTCGCCTTTCCGCCAGGTATCACTCAATTTATCATATACTTTTTTCAACAGGTATCACCCAAGTTACATTGTAACTTGTTTGATTCTACTATTACAAAATTTGCTCCTTTTCAATTCTTGTCATGAGGTAGATTGTTATATAAAACTTTCAAATCAACTTGTTGGTTATTTAATGTTATGAGAATTGACTACTGAGCACTAGATTATCATCAAGTCTTTTGTGTGTGTTTCTGTCTTAGATTTTTTTTTTTTTTTTTTTATATATATCTATGGGCAATTTAAGCAAGCTTGGATTCATGGATTCTCTGAAGACAGCATGCTTTCACATGTTAGAATTGTGTCAAGTGCTGGATAGCTTTTGCACTTTAAATTTGATATATGGAACTTCTAACTTTATATATTTGTTTATTAAGACAACAGGCTTTCTTTGACAATATCAATCTTGCTATTTTTCTGTAAAACAATAGTACCTTTCATGATGTTATAATGTATAATATACATAGCATCATGTTTGATAAATTTTTTATCAATCCATTTCCTATTTATAGGCTCAGCTTTTATCCAATCCGGTTTTTATAAGTATATATTGATAATTGTATTGGCTATTATGTAAATTGATACCCGTGACACAATTTTTTTGCTAATGTAATCCGATAAGTATATACTTTCTAAATAATTTGTTGATACATGATATTTCTTGTCAACATTTTTCCCTCAACTCTCACAAGCTGATTAAGCTTGAAGTTTCTCCATGTAAGAGGAACTTTGGCTGTTGTCTATCAAAATTAATATCCTTCTGTTGTTTAAACCAACGATGAACTGCTTGCATTCTGGAATAAATGAGATGAGTGGCATGTGCATAAAGTACTAGTTCAATGTGTAATTTGGTTTCATGAATGGTTACAAAACATTGAAGCATTGTGTTTGCAGGACATGGGGCTCTTCCCGTCACACGTTTACCATCTCTTAGGAAAGAACTTGTGCAGTTTTTGCTAGAGAGTTCCGTTGCCCCTAATCCACAGGCAGTTTCAAGAGGAACATACCTGAACCTGTATTATCTCTTACAGTTAGATACTGAAGCGACTTTAGATGTTTTGAGGTGTGCTTTTTTAGATGGTGAGAAACCTGAATTCTCTAAGCAAGATGGGGCCAATACAGATATGGAGGCTAAGCAAGAAAACAATATGACGGTTGAAAGTCAAAATTTATTGATTCAGAATACTATAAATGCTCTAGTTCAAATTACCGAAAATCATATATCCCAAGCAGATGAATCTGCTCTTGATGATGATGATACTGGATTTGTGGATGCATGGCCTTCAAAGAAAGACATAGGAAATCTGTTTGAATTCATTGCACACCATGTTGCATGTAGAAAAGCTCATGTTTCAAAAGTTGTGCTGAGTCAGATTTTGGAGTACTTGACATCAGGGAGTACTATTCCATCAAGTGTTCCTCCACACATCATTGAAACTTCAAAAGAGAGAGAGAAACAGTTGCTTGCACTGCTGGAAGTGGTGCCTGAGACTGATTGGAATGAGGCTTACGTGTTGCAGCTATGTGAGGAAGCATGCTTTCACCAGGTATGTATGCCATGCTCACTTTTGTGCCATTGTCTCTGAGAGTGTTTCTTATATTAAGTTCTCTTTTGGTAGCCTCATGCCATTGGCTCTAATCTGGGTTTCAGGTTTCTGGCTTAATTCATACCATCAGACATCAGTATCTTGCTGCTTTGGATAGCTATATGAAAGACATAGATGAACCCATTCACACTTTCTCCTACATTAACAATATGTTAGAAAAGCTGAGTGACAATGAAAGTGGTGCTTTTCGATCAGCTGTGATATCTAGGATTCCTGAGTTGCTTGTCTTAAGCAGGTAAATTTTTAATTTTTCCCAAGAAGCTTCTTTGATCTTTACTCTCTTATTAAATATACTGTTAGATTTCTGTTATTTGGCAACTTTCTTCTCTAATCAAGCTTATGGTTTTTTCTTTTTTCCAGAGAGGGCACATTCTTCTTGGTCATGGACCATTTTAGTACTGAAAGTCCACATATCCTCTCTGAATTACGCTCCCATCCACGAAGCCTTTTTCTGTATTTAAAGACAGTCATTGAGGTTCATTTGTCTGGAACCTTAGACTTTTCTAATTTAAGAAAATCTGACGATATAGATGTTGTTAATGGAAGAAGGGTGAAAGACCAGTCAAAGGGACTCGCAGCTTATCTGGAAAGGATCTCTGATTTTCCTAAGTTCGTGCGGAATAATCCTGTCCATGTGAATGATGATATGATTGAGCTTTATTTCGAGGTCAGCCCATCTACTGTTATCCTAAAAGCAATTGGTTGAATTTGAATGACATTGCAACCCCACTCCCTCTGAAAAAATAAAAATTTGTTTTTTTTTTTTTTGGTCTCTGTGTTCATTCTGATTGCATGTTCTTTGTAACACTTAATATCATTCGGTCTCTTCAAATTTGTTTCAAAGGGAGCCCGAAAGTAAAGAGACAAAAAGAAAATCAATAAGCTCAAGTGTTCAGTCAAATAAATGTTGTATTGGTTTGGGTCATGATTCAGGTGCTGCCTTGTCTGTCTGTCCTTGTGGGATATAATCATCTATGTTCAATTTTATGTATTTTTTGCTCAAATAGTTGCATCTGTTTTTTCAGAATCATGTTTGCTGTGATAACTTCTAATTTACTGCACTTGTAATTGCTCCTCTTTTAGTTCAAAATTTCAAGAATGATCTTATCACTTCTTGGGTTAGATTCTTAATATTTTGCATTTTGCTCTTGCAGCTATTATGTCAGTTTGAGCGCAATTCAGTTCTCAGATTCTTAGAGACTTTTGATAGCTACCGGGTGGAACACTGTTTACGCATGTGCCAGGACTATGGGATAATAGATGCTGCTGCCTTTTTATTGGAAAGGGTTGGTGATGCCGGAAGTGCTCTTTTACTCACACTTTCTGGTCTCAATGATAAATTTTCAGAGCTAGAGACAGCCGTGGGAAATGTGGTTTCAGATATGACTTTAAGTGGTTCTGCCCGTAGTGATCATTACAAGACTGTTTTAAAAATGAAAGAGGTTCACAGATTTCTAGAGTTCTATGATATGGTTTTGATTTTTTTTTTTTTTTCGTGAAAGGAAAGCAGGCTTTTAATGTATATTTAATGCACCCTGCGATATTTATCTTACAGGTGGACAACATATGCAGTATATTACATGCCTGTATTGGATTATGCCAGCGGAACACCCCACGTTTACAACCTGAGGAATCTGAGATACTCTGGTTCAGATTACTTGACTCGTAAGTTTAATATAGATCGTTAGTTTGAGTACATGCATTATGTGACAATCTATATATAACATTATATAACATCATTAGTTTACTTGCGACTCCTCAGAAAAGATTTTTCATATTGCTTTTCCCTTTTTATTCTTATCTCTAGTTCACCTAGTAAAAAATCCAGATCTTTGGTTGCCACGCAGAACATCAACAAGTTGTCTATGATATAGGACAGAGCACACTGAGTATTGACTCTTACCTTGTTTTTCTTATTTTTCTTCAATTCACCTTGTGAAAGTCCAGATCTTTTTTTACCATGCAGAACACCAACTAGCTGTGTAGGATATAGGACAGAGCACAATGAGTCTTATACAGCAAGCTGCCAGGATATCGTTATGCGTGTTGTGTTTTGCCTGTGCATAGTTGTGAAATAGGAAGCTGAGAATGTTCCTTTCTGCATTTTGCGTTTTCTTGCATTAGCAAATGCTGTTCTATTGTTGTTAAAAGCACACCTGGCGTGCTTAAATGTTCGCAGCTCTCTTAAGGGCAAAAACACCTGTGTGTGTGTGCACGTGTGAGAATCACAATGTGTACTGTATCTTCTATTAAATTTTGTATTATTTAGAATGTGTCATCCGGTTAATAGGAACTGCCATAATCAGTGATTAATTCATTCTGTATTAGAAGTTATCCCTTGAAACAAGTCAACAACTGAACAATTGTACAAACCACTCTTTTTTAATTAATTGGCCAAGTAAACCACTGTTTTGTTTGAATTTCAATTTCTCAATTGCACCATGTGAATTTTTCTTTTGGAAATTTCTGTACTTGCATTAAGAAAACATTTACCTCCTTTTAGATCCTTTATTGTTCGTACTTCTGCCTTTGCTCCACCAGTCCTTTATGCTTGCATTTTATCTTTTTAATAATTGCCAAGAATGATATTGTTGTGGAAGGGAACAATATATGCATTTTTCATTTCCTAATTTTCTGTCTATATAAAATATATGCCTTTTTTGTTTAATCAGTATTGCAAAGAAATTTCAGTATTTAGGTTTTCAGACTAACGATCTCTGATATTAAATGCAGGTTTTGTATGCCTTTGATGGATTCCTATTCTGATAGAAGCATATCAAAAGCAAAGAATCATGTTGGAGTGCTAGGTGAAGCTCTGGGTCTCCAGGAGGATGATGGGGCAGGGGTAATCAAGTGGAAAATCTCTAGATCTTGTAAAGGTGCTCCCATCTTGAGGAAATTGTTCTCTAGGTTCATCAAAGAGATTGTTGAGGGAATGGTAGGATATGTTCGCCTTCCAACTATCATGTCAAAACTCCTCTCTGATAACGGTACCCAGGAATTTGGTGATTTCAAAATTACAATATTGGGGATGCTTGGAACATATGGCTTTGAAAGAAGAATTCTGGTATATATTTATAATCTATTAACTTAGTCATTTGTTTTTTCTTTATCTATTCATCTTAGAATTTGTTTTTTTTTTTGAAAAACTTTGTGCCAGTCATGAACTGTTCTTCCTTAATTTAAATCACAAATCTGTACTAACTCATATTTTCTGCATTTTAGGATACGGCCAAATCCTTGATAGAGGATGACACATTCTACACCTTGAGCTTACTAAAGAAGGGGGCATCTCATGGCTATGCTCCCCGAAGTACTGTATGTTGTATATGCAACTGCCCACTTGCAAAGAATTCCAGTTTCCGTCTTCGAGTTTTCAGTTGTGGTCATGCAACTCATCTTGATTGCGAACTTGAAAACGAGTCATCAAGTAGGAGCCACCTATCTGGATGTCCTGTTTGCATGCCTAAGAAGAATACTCAGAAGGGGTCTAGAAATAAATCAGCACTTCCGGAGAATGGTTTAGTGAATAAAGTTTCCGAGAGACCACGGCGAGCACATGGAACTAGCATTTTACACCCACATGAAGATTTGTTAGAGAATTCCTATGGGCTTCAGCAAATATCACGGGTAAGTCTACCTTAGTTGTTATTGTTGCAACTCTCATGGTTAGACAATGTTAATTAATCAAAATTCATCCTGAATGTTCTGCAGTTTGAGATTTTGTCTAATCTCCAAAAAGATAAGAAATTAGTTCAAATAGAAAGCATGCCTCAGCTAAGGCTTGCACCTCCTGCTGTTTATCATGAAAAGGTGAAGAAAGGACCTGGTCTTTTAACAGGAGAGAGTAGCAGCGATATTGCAACAGTTGAGAAACCAATCAAAAGTAGGCAACTCAGAGAGCAAAAACTGAAGGGATCATCTCTTCGGTTCCCACTAAAATCAAGCCTATTCGGTAAGATCTGTGATCGCTCAGTTCGTGTTGGTAAAATTTTCCACTAAAATCAAGCATATTGGATAAAGATCTTAACACCTGGATGATGCTTTTGCAGGCAAGGAGAAGACGAACAAAGGCTGACGTTACTATCTTGTACAGACTAACTGTAGAAATTGAAAACCGGATGTCCAATAGCTCATGAATTTGTCATCACTTGGCTGAGTTGTATTTTTTTATTCAACCTATGTGTAGTCCTTTTCTTTTTCTTTTTCCCTGATTTATAAAATATTCTGTACAGTTGTCTTGTAACCATGCATGTAAAATAAATTTTGTACGTAATGGGAAGGAAGGGATTTTGGTAATGAGTTAGAAATCGTATAACTTTTTTTAAAAAAAATTAGCCATTTTCTTGCATGTAAAATAAAGTTTGATGTTTGTAATCCGAAGCATGGTTAGCCTGTTTCTTTTCTTTTGGTTTCTCCTTTCCAATTCCCCCTTTTTCCATGGGATGGAAAAACTGCTTTTAAAGGCTTGAGCATTTTAAGCTTTTATCGGACGCCTATGTGCCTTCTGCTGGAAAATGAGATGGATACTGAATGTTATGTTGGCGTTGCCGGGAATTCAGGATGATGCTACGGGTACTAAACTGTGTTCTAAGTTCTATCTGAACTGAGGATGATCTAAAAAATTCCGATGCACGGCAAATTGTAATCGGTGCCGTCAGGAGGAAAATTGAAGGAAAGCTTGCAAATTGCTTATAACAACTAAGCTTAAAAGGTTTAAAATTATAGAAGTGAAAAATTTGGCCTGTGCCGTGAGTCGGCTTTGCTAATTCTGATCGAGTTCTTTAATTATATATATATATATATATATATATATAAGGCACCGTTAAATCTATTATATATTTTTGTTATTTCCATTTTTTTTCTAAATTACCAACACATCCTCGCATTAGGTTAATATATCATAGTTAGATGTTTTATATAGTTATTTTGATATTTATATGAAATGGTCCGTGTAACTCCTTACTTTATAGTGCCTCTCTCTCTTTTTCTCTTTATTTTTTTAATCACCATTAACATTCATTCTCTGTTCCTCTTTATTTCTTTAATCACCATAAACATTCCTTCTCTATTCCCTTCTCTTTGTTTCATTTCCAGATTTGTTAGCTAAACTGAGTAAACAAAAATCCTAAAAAATATATTTGAACATGAGATATGTGTTTTCTCCAAGTTTAATGAGTTTATTCCTTTACAGTCCTTTATAGTCTCATATACCCGATGAAAAAATGTGGATTCTTTCTAAAATCTACTTTAACGCAACCATAGAGATTGAAACTGTAGATCGCCTGGGCCCTGGGGCACTAAAGAAAGTTTCTATAACGGCGTCGTAATAGATAGATGGTTTATTTACAGAGAAAGAAACGAAACGACACCGTTTAATATTTTTCAAAATCCATAAAAGGGCCCAACCGGGTTCGAACCGGTGACCTCTTGATCTGCAGTCAAATGCTCTACCACTGAGCTATGGACCCCAATTGACCTTTTTGGGGCACAGTTTATAAATAAATAAATTTATTTCTTTTCCCTAGGCACTGCAAGAAGGACTCGATCCTCATCCAATGCCACGTCGGAAGTCTCATCTTTCCACGTGTAGTCTGTATGCTCGCACCACTCATCAATCACCGTCCTCGTGTTTTCTTTGTTTTTTGGAGTTGATTGAATTCATCCTGCAAGCATACCATGCGACAAACTTCAAAGTTGCTATTAAAGGAAGGAAGAAACCAAGAAAACGAGAACTGTTCTGACAAAATGAAGCTACAAAGTACACTTGGAACCTCTTGTAGAAGGGTTTGTGACTGGCTAGACTACTCACTTAGATTCTCGATCCCCCATTACATAAATATTCAGCATCATATGATACTCATTGAGGGGTTGCTGGGCACTTCAGAATTTAGTTTGTTGCCTAGGTTATTTGAGTTTTAGGATCTTAACCATTGAAGAAAGGGATATGAGAGAGAAATATATATCATTCATGTATAATGCACGAAGATACCCATATATTTAAAAAATAAATAGCACATAAATCACATAAAGTTTTAAATTTTATTTTAGATGTATTCCTAGTACATGTATATTCTACGGGGCATCACCAAATTGATAAATCTATATAAAAAAGAGAACCACAACTCTTTGAACTCGCCCATCATATTTTGGACGGATAAGCAAACCTAAGTCAATCACATCTACCTCCACCAATTACATGAACAAATTGTACTTACATTTAATGCAAGCATATCTCTAAGATTATTTCTATCAAGTGAACAATATTTATAATATCATCATTCACACTCATGGATAATCCGTTAATTAAATACATTTATTCTTTAATTAAATTCTGAAATGATATATAGCACCTAAATCGAGGTCTCTATTCTCCTCTCTGTACAAGTTGGTAGCCCTCGTGTTTATATAATAACTATGAGCATTTAGATAACATGTTTATAATTTCTATTCATCTGGTTCTTATACTAGCAACACAAATTTTTTTTAAAAAAATTTAATTATCTCTATTTTTGCTTACCCAGACATATAAAGGTTTTCTACCCCATAAAATGGATTTATTTTACAAATAATCCATTCAACATGATTATTTTCTCAAAAAATTATCATTTTACATTAACTTTAAAAGAAACACCTCACTATAGTAAGTTTTTCAAACCTCATCAAATTGTCTTGGTGATTGATATGTGAATATAAACTTATAATATTTAGCCTCAAAACACAACTTTCATTGGCACTAGATTCTGACCTAAAACTCGTAGCAAAGATTCAATAGGATTAGCACCATACAACTTAAAAAGAGTTGAATTTAGCACCCTCGAATCTGGACATTATTATAATTATAATTCATTACGATGGAGACGTTTGCTATTGATACCCTTTTAAAACAAAATTATTTTATTATTATTATTATTTTTTTATCAAAGAAGGATTTACTTTTAAAGCAAAGTAAGTGACTTAAAAAAAAAACAATATTTTTAAAATGAAAGTATGGTAATATATTTTCAAGCAAAAAAAATAATAAATAATAAATTATTGTTGATAAAAATATAAAATTTTAAAAATACCATGATTTTTGAAAAACAACATTTTCAACTCACAGCACAGGCAGTAATGAAAGTACAAGACAGTAAAACATTAACAAACAGCTATCGCTTGTACTTCCTTCTTTTATTTTGTACAGGATCATAGGGGGAGGAAGAAAGAAGGAAAACTTGCTAAAAACCAAAACAACAAATGGATTTAAAAAAAAAAAAAAGGAGCAAACGACATCGTTTCAAGATCCACCAAATAAAATTGGCAAGAAATAAAGGCCAACTGTCCAATGAGGAAAAATCACAAATTTTAACTGACTTTACGAAGCCAAGGGAAGTTGTGTGAGGCAGTTGGGAGTTCGGTGGCCTCCCTAGCCCCTTCCCTTCGTATTTATTTCTTTCATTCATTTTCATCAATCAATCAAAAATCATAAGCGAGTATTCCCACGTTTTCTTCCCTCGTTTCCTCCGCCTCTCTTTCCTTTCTTATACTCTCCTCCCTCTCTCCGTCCTCCCCTCACTTCCCTTTCGTTTCCTTTCCTCTCCTTTCCCCCACATTTCTGAGCTCCCTAATAAAAGAGGGGAAAAAAAGAAGGAAAAAACTAGAAGAGAGAGCAAAATGGCAGCGGCATCGGCTTTCTCAGCTACCAAATTTACCCAGCCTTTGCCTCTCAACACCACTACCTCCAGATCTCATGACAAGCACCAATCTTTCTTTGATCCTCTTAAGACCACCTCTTCTTCTTCTTCTTTTCTTGGATCCACTCGCAAACTTCGCCTTAATTCTGCTTCCAAATTCAATCATTTGGCCAATTCCAATCGTCGATCTGCTGTTGTTGCTGTTTCTGATGTTGTCAAGGAAAAGAAGGTCAAATCTACCACCAATCTGGTAAACAATTCCACAATTCACCTCTCAATTATTTCCCTTATCGAAAGCTTCTGTTTTCATTTTATTTATTTTTTTGTTGGCGTTTCTGAGCTTAAGTGACAGATTGTCGTATACCCTTTTTAAGCTTTAATTGAAATCATTTCGTTTGTTTTGTTAATAAAGATGACATTAAACACCAAGATTTATTTATTTAGTTTAATTGGTTGTGGCTATGTAATTAGCTTTGGGATTTATTTACATGCATTACTAGACATTTAAAATCGACAGGCTTTGTTTGCCTTGATGAGTTGAAGCTATTTTTGTGAATTCCGATGAACGAAATAAAGACCAAATGTTGCTTCTTCTTCTTTTTTTTGAAAAAAACTTATTTAATTATTCGTGTTTTTAGTTGATCACTAAAGAAGAAGGATTGAAGGTATATGAGGATATGATATTGGGCAGATCTTTTGAGGACATGTGTGCCCAGATGTATTATAGAGGCAAAATGTTTGGTTTTGTTCATCTTTACAACGGCCAAGAGGCTGTCTCATCTGGGTTCATAAAGCTTTTGAAGCAGGAAGATTCTGTTGTCAGTACTTATCGTGATCACGTGCATGCTTTGAGTAAGGGAGTCCCAGCTCGTGCTGTCATGAGCGAGCTCTTTGGCAAGACCACTGGGTGTTGTCGGGGCCAAGGTGGATCCATGCACATGTTCTCGAAAGAGCACAATTTGCTTGGTGGGTTTGCTTTTATTGGTGAGGGAATTCCAGTGGCAACTGGTGCAGCGTTTTCCAGCAAATATAGGAGGGAGGTTTTGAAGCAGGCAGATTGTGATCATGTGACATTGGCCTTTTTTGGTGATGGAACTTGTAACAATGGGCAGTTCTTCGAGTGTTTGAACATGGCAGCATTGTGGAAATTGCCCATCGTGTTTGTTGTTGAGAATAACTTGTGGGCTATTGGGATGTCGCACTTGAGGGCAACTTCAGATCCAGAGATTTGGAAGAAGGGTCCTGCATTTGGGATGCCAGGAGTTCATGTTGATGGAATGGATGTTTTGAAGGTGAGGGAGGTGGCCAAGGAGGCAATTGGAAGGGCTAGGAGAGGAGAAGGGCCAACGTTGGTGGAATGTGAAACTTACAGGTTTAGAGGACACTCATTGGCTGATCCTGATGAGCTTCGTGACCCGGGTGAGCTTTTACTTTTGGTTCTCTTTGTTTTGATATCTATTTTATTCCAGGTCATCAATTGATTTATTAAATTAGCATTTAGCCGTTCAATTTAATTATTGCCAATTTTCTCTTTTGGATTCCATTTCCTCCATGTTTTGTTTCGTGATGTAGCTTTTGCCTTTGCAAGTTTAACTGATATGAATGACACTTGTTTCTGCATGTTTGGAGTGAAATTGTTCTGTTTGCTTTTCCATTTCCTGTGCTTGTTGAAATATCTGCCATTTATAGTTCATACAAAAATTTTCCATTTCATTTCCATCTTGATCTAATGTAACATGGAGTGAAAAGTTCAAAATGAGTTGCCAATTATTGATAGGTTTATTGAGGCTCGTTTGAGTTAAATTCTGGCTTTTTCAGGAGGCATTTGTTTGTTTAGTAAACTTTTTTCATCCTCACCTTTCTGTTCCCTTTCCTGCTTTGTTCCCACTTATCCTCTTCTTGGCTTCTCAGCAGAGCTTTAAAAACCTTCCCATCTGTTATTTTGACATCATAGTATTAGCATTGAGTTCATTACAACATCTTTAGGAATCAAGAATTTAGCACAGATGTTCTAATGTCCATTCCTTCCCTCCTCCCCCCCCCCCCCAACACACACACACACACAAAAATAAAATGATCTGTGCCTGTACACTTTGATACCATGACAAAAATTAAGTTGCTAAGAAATTAGCTCCAGTGATTAGTACAATATTGCTAATCTAACAAACGATATGTTTACTCGGGAGATGCCTTTGTCTTATTGTAGTGACAAATAAAAACCATATGGCCTAATAAACGATTACATATAAACTCTTTAAGATATATAATATTTAAAATGTCTCTAGAGTTCCTTGAAATGATTAGCCATAATAGAAGATGCTTGTATTTTGATTTTCTGTTTTATAGTTTGTCATTATCACAAGTCCATGCAAGTCCCTCATCTCTTGGTTCTTTTTGGCAGCTGAGAAGGCTCACTATGCTGCTAGAGATCCCATCACAGCCTTGAAGAAATACATGATTGAGAACAGCCTTGCCAGTGAGGCAGAGCTAAAGGCTATTGAAAAGAAGATAGACGAAGTGCTTGAGGATGCTGTTGAATTTGCAGAAGAGAGCCCTCTTCCATCCCGCAGCCAGCTACTTGAGAATGTCTTCGCTGATCCAAGGGGCTTTGGAATTGGACCTGATGGCCAGTATAGATGTGAGGATCCAAAATTCACAGAAGGTACTGCTCATGTCTAGGTTTTTTGGAGTGGGACTTTCATCAACTCCAGTTGTGCTGTCTTTTTGTTGGCTGCACAACTGCATATTCGTTAATGCTGGTAATCAGTTGTGCCTAAATTATGGGGATATGTTGTGCTTATGTAAGCAGGTTATGTTGTTTAGTTTTTACCTTTCTATCTTAAATTTTGGCATTGCTCTACCTAATTATCTCTGTTCATTGTACTAGCGATTTTAATGACAACCCTCAAATGGTTCTTGATCCATAACTTGGAATTTTGCAATTTTTTAGTCCGTGTTAGATTCATCTTGCTGCCATTCAATTTTTTGGATTTACTAGCTAATTACGGCTGCCTGCCAATTAAGTAGACCTTCACTATCAGTTGACAGTCTTTAAGTTTCAAGCATGACATGGTTTGTGCATGTGTTCCAAATACCATTGGATGAAAATGATATGGTTTGAATGCACCATCTGACGATTATATGAAAAATTGCAGTCTTTACGCAGAACACTTCAAAACTTGCAATCTTTCATACAGACCACTACCAAATGGTCAATCTCTGACCTTCTAATTGGCCAAAAAAAATAAAAGAGTTGGTATCTTGGGATGGCAATCTACTGCATCTTGTCATGTTCGATGCAGGGATTCTTTGAGTTGATTGAAGGACGGGTTTGCTCCGTATTAATTTTAAACAAGAATGGGACGGAGATGGTATTTATCCATCATGTCTCGTTTGTTCTGTTTCATTTCTAAAATTATAATTATACCCTCTATAAAATTTATGATTATTAACTCTTAAAGTTTATTTTTTATATGAATTATTATTATTTTTTATGGTTATAATTTGAAATTTAGTAAGAGAATAGAGTATAATGTGAAATTTAGTAGGAGAATAGAATGGGATGGAACGGAAACAAAAAATTAAATGAGGCACTGGTGTGGAATTCCGATCCCTGTTTGGAGTGACAATGGTACGAGAAATATTACTTCGCAAGGAACAAGGGGCTGAAACGAGGTAAAATTTTCAGGAGTGGAGCGGGGATATGGCCTGCCCCTGCCTTGCCTCCATTGCCATTCCTATTGGTATCTTGAACTTTGAGGTCTGAGCAAATAAGGGTCTTGTTGAGATTGGCCACGCAAGCTACGGTCTCGCTTACTATCACTGGTAAAGGTACTTTGTATAAGTTTGGTAGCAGGGGTTTTCTGCGGCAGTGGCATGGTATTTGTTGACCAATTAGCATGTAGTAGGGTGCCGAATTTCTTGATGTGCTAGTGACTATCAACGGAACCAGCAAGGTCAAGGGCTCCACAAGACCCGAATAAACAAACCGTAAGAGAATAAAATGCTACCAAGAACAGAATGATAAAATCTAGTGAAATAGATTCTCTCTCTATCGAAGTGACATTTCGAAGAAAATGGCTTCCGCAGGTATACATTCTCTAAATGCAACGTTATCAGATGGATGCATAAAGAATGATTTCTCAGTTCTCACGCCGTTAATGTTGCAAATCAGAAATGATGACCACATAGCGTAACGAACTGAATTCTCAATTCTACGAAACACAGTTGCTGGCAAACTAATTATGCATCATTTATTTCAATAATAAAGAATCATGTGAAACTTATCAAATAATAATAATAATAACAACGAATAATAATTATAATAAAGAAAACGTATAATTATAATAATAAAGAAAACGTGAAGTTGCAGGATATCCAAAAGAAAATGACCACAGCACAAATAGTAGGCGAAAAGAAGATTGATCTACATTGCATTTCCAAAAGCACAAGTCAAATAATAGACAAAAATGTTATTCGGTGAACTTTCCAATTTGTACAAGCAAAACTTCTTACTTGTCTCATACTATTTAAGCATGTTTTTACACTTACTGAGGTTCAAAAGTACAACTACCGAACAAGCTCAAGTCGATGGGAAGAAAAAATGAGTGAATTTCAAGTAGAATAGAGAAAACAATAAGAACAAAAAAGCAAACAAAATAAAATTAGACTAAGCGCAACTAAAAGGTGATTCTTATCATTGACCTCGAGGGCAAAAGGAACATGTAAGGGACACTTTTACACCAAAATAAATGGGATCACAACTTCAAAGCAGCAATCGCTTCAGGTTTAAAATCAACCCTTAGACCCAACACTCGCCTAACCTCAGCAGGGGTTAGTCTCCAGGTCATAGGTCCTGAGTTCTCACCCCAGAAATCTAGAATCTCAGATACCTTTTCTAAGTTGAGGATGGTAGCCATTTGAGTGAGACGAGCAAACTTGTCTCTGACAGTCCTCTGAGTCATGCTAGAGAAATGGCTTACCAATGCCCTCACATCTCTGTCAAGCTGAAGGCCTCCAAGCTGACTGAACCTCTTCTGCATCATAATCACTTCGAGCCTCCTCACAATGAAGTCAATGACCAAATGTACAAAGGAATCATAGTTGTTGGCAGTCATTAGAGGCTGGAGCCACGATACATTTGTCTCAACAGAGTGGAGAAGCCTCTGGACCCATGGGTCATTCACCTCATTATCTGCATATTCTGCCTCAGATAACTCATAACTGATGGTCGCTACACTATCTAATACTGGACGGATTCTAGGTGTCACAGTAGCCACTAATTGTTCCATGCCAGCATTCAGGGCTTGCTTGAAAGTATTGCTCATATCACCCAACTCAGACAAACAAGATTTCACCTTTTCTCTATCTGCTGTTGCAGGGAATGCCTGTTTAAATTATTGCAGTCAGTTTAATCCTTAGACATTGAGATGATTTCCACAAGAAAACAACAAGGCAATTCAAGTGTTTGAAAGCAGCCATGTCAATGAATATAACAGAACTCAAGCAATAAATAAACAGAGGGATCATGGAAGGAATGCCTGTTGAAACTTTTTCATTCGTTTTAATTCTTAGACATTGAGATGGTTTTGACAAAAAGCAACAAAAGCAATCCAGATGTTCAGAAACAATCAAGTCGATGTGCAGCACAGATCACAAGCATCAAAATAAACAAAAGGATCATAGAAATATGCTCAATAAACATCCAAACTCATCTAATTGCAATAATTAGTCCGACATAAAAGAAACTGAATTGGCCTGGCATCAAATGTACATCATGGTGCCAATTCTTCTGATAATTTTAATCCTTGAAGTCCATACTATCTCTATCATTTAACTCACCATAATGGGTCCTGAGTGGAACATTACTAGATAAACACATTCTAACAGTCTAACTTATAGCGTGACAAATGACAAATCACAAGCAAGTTAACATGCAAGGCATAGATTAGCAAGAACAATAGCTGCTGCTTCTGTTTACTTGAGGTAAGAAATATCACTTACCTCAGCACATTGTTCATCAATCTCATGCTTCAGCTTCAAGATATACTCGCTACTCACATCCATATTATTCAATGCAGTGGCAATATCAGTCCCAGTCTTCTGTACACCAACACCTCCCAAAAACAGCTTTGCACCAAGGTTTGGTTCTCTCATTTTCTGTTGCAAAGCTTCATGATATTCATTACTTAACAAACTACTTGCACCACTCAAGACTGCAACCACAGAACTAATGTTTGAAGTTGATATTGCCCTTCTCAAGCAACTCTGCAAAACATAGAACACATCATCCACCATAGATGTGGTTAGGCTATCAGGCACATGCTCATCAATACTAATAGCTTTCCTCACATTTTCAACCATAAAGAATCCCTCTAAAATCACATAAAACCCAGTAATCTCCTGAACTACTTTACTAAAACTCCCACTCCTAAACGATTTAGTAGCTCGTGGAACCAACTCAGGATCAACAGAACTCAACCCTTTAATCTTCGAAACCATAAATTCTGTATAATCCTCACCTAATTGCATCAATGACAATATCTCTTCTAAATACAACTCAATCTCTCTTGGGTCAGGCCCTTCCGGTGCACCAACAGCAAGTAAATTCTTATTATGAGCATTAATCTCAGACGCCAACTTCCCCAATTTCCTATACTCCATATATTTCTTCAAAATCAAAGAACCCCTAGAATCACACTCTTCTTGTAATTCGCAAATCGCATAAACAATCCCATCTTCACCACATAAACCTCTCAATATATCAACATTTTCTTCAATAGCCAAAACAATATCTTTAAACAAATTCGTCAAACACCCAACAAAATTAACATTATTACTAACATTACTATTACTATAAGTCTGTTCCATTAACTCTACTAAATTCTCAAATTCAAGCCTAGATCGCATCGAAATCACTTTCTTTAAATACCCAACATAAACCTGCAAGCCCTCTTCTTCCAATCCTAGAGGCGAAAAAAGCCTGATAAACCTTAAAATAGTTGAATGATCCCTCGAATCCACGGCCCCCGACAACTTCTTCCTCACAATTCCTTCAAGCGTTCTCTTCGACGCCAACAACTGCTCTCTCTGATCCGACCCAGAATCTTTATACTTAGCATCGATCTGCAAAAACGTCTGCACATACTTCGCCGCAGACTCATAATCCTCTTTATCAAGCGCATTCTTCACTCCTTCGATACAATTCCCTCTGTCAACAATCGCATCTATGCGCAAGAGCGTGGAATTAACACGCGACTGAGCAAGATCAAGCTCACGCACTTTAGCACTCACGTGATCCGCTAAATCGCAGGTGGATCTGACATTAGAGAGCATGTGGTCCGAATCAGCTTTGACAATATCGAGAACATCAGCGGATTTTTGGAGGTGATGGAGATGCTTGTCGAGATCTGAGCGCTGGGATAAAAGAGTGTCAAGGTTGAGGTCGAGACTGCGCTGGTATGCTATACATTCGTGGAGGAGACGAGTCATGGCGCCTACATCGGTTAGGTTCCGCACATGGTCTAAGGCTTCAAGGGTGCCAAATTTAATAGAGGGAGAGGTGAGGGTGGTTTCGTCTTCTTGTTGGGATTGTTCTTGTTGTTGTTGTTGCTGGGGTTTCGGGGAATTTGTGATCGCTGCATTTGGGGTTGCTGGCATTTTTTCGGTTTTTGGATCTGGAGGAGCAAGGAGGAATTGATTATCAGGTGAGGTGGTAGAGTTGTTTTAATCTTTCGCGGGTTGGGCGACTTAAGTTGGCTTTGTTTAAGTCTTTCGGGTCAAATAGATCCATACAACAACCATATGGATACGGTACTAATCTTCAGTATATTTCTGTTTTTCCCCCTAAATCCTATTTATGAGAAATGGAATGGATATGTGTTACTGAAAAATGAAATTTTGTTTTTAATAAATGGATTCCATTACTGAATAACATTTATAATTTTCTTCTTTTTATGTAAGGATAATAAAAAAAAAAATCAAATTGTATCACATCTAAATGAGAAATATATTTTTTTAAATAAATATTTTATATCTTTGTATTATCATTTATTGTATTTTGTAATTTAACTTTGTTAATTGTTGATATTGAAATCAAATAATTAATTTATCTGGAGATATTTTCAATGAATAGTATAAAGATAAATTCTTAATTTTTCAATTAAATTCATTGCTAAGAAAAGCTATTAAAAACTAGAAAAACCTCAATTTTAATTCCAAACTTATTTATTCATTTTCAATAGAATCACAAACCTATAATTATTATCAATTAAGTTTCAAATGTTTTAAATAGAAAAATTAATCAAGTCTTTTGTTAGTATTCATCAATATTTTTTTTATCAAATTTTCTTTAAATTAATTTATTTTAGTGCATAAATATGCACATTAGATCGAAAATATTAAATTTCGTTAATTTATTTGTTTTATCAAATTTCATTTAAATCAAACCATTTTAGTGTTAAATCGGACAAAAATTATTAAAAAATAGTAAAAAAATGATCAGAAATGTAAAAAATATTTGAGAATTAATTGATAAAATATATAGGTTTAGAATGAGTGTATAGATTTGGGATTAAGTTGAAGTTTTCCTAAAAATATAAATGTTGCATTACGAAGTATTAGATATAGGTTCATTTGTTTTAAAATTAAGTTTATTATAAAAATGCTGTAATAAGGGTGAATAAACATGAGATTCAAATCCGCAGTCCAATCCACTGGGGTAAAATTTCGGAGCGAGTGACCCGTTTCGCAAATGGGCTGACCAGTCTTGTAAATTAGTGTTAAACCATATCCACTTAGAAAGTTACAAGCTCATTTCTCCAATGGCCACCAGCAGTCTCTTAGGAGGACCATCTCCTCCCCCTTTACTCTCTTCTCTCAAAACCAAAACCAGAGCAGCAGCTACAACGACAACAACCTCAATATCATTCTCTCCGCCACTCCAACTTCAACACCCAAAATTCTGCTGGTCCTTGACCGACTCGAACTCTCTTCACTTGCCCTCAACAAAAGGTCACGCTGTTTTAGCAGTTGTAGATAAGGAAACCGGGATTACGGAGGAGATTAACAATGTGACCGAGGAGAATGATGACTTTGAATCGAAGAAGCAAGCAAAACCATGCGAACTATACGTTTGTAATCTTCCAAGGAGCTCTGACATTGCAGACCTTGTAGAGATGTTCAAGCCTTTTGGCTCTGTTCTTTCTGTTGAGGTATATATATTTATCTATCACCTTGGAGTCTGGACCTTTCCTTTCTTCTCAATAACATCTGGGTAAGGTTGGGTTCTTTAAAGAAATATGATTTCTACTTTATTTTTCAAAATTTGGATTGGATCATCTAAAATTCAGATAACTGTATCCTAACTCGATTCTAAATTTTCAAGAGATAAATAGATATTTTGTTGTTTTATTGCAGCTATGCTCCATAAATTGTTTTCCTTCAATTGCAACAACCACACTATATAATTTGGAAACTTAGTGGGGTTTTAGCCAAAAATTGGAAAGATGGAATTCTGTCAAGTTGGTGGATACTGGTTAGGTTTTTGCTGAAAATTAAAAGTATTGAAACAAATTCACCTGATGGGAAGTTGGATTGTCTCCAAATTTGCAAACTTGGTTTTAGCTGAATAGAATATAAAAAAGTGAAACAAAATTCATTATTTGGAAAGCTGTGGGATTGCATTCAAGTTTCGATTCCTTTTGAGTTAATTCCAGGTTTCTCGGAACCCTGAGACGGGTGTAAGCCGAGGATGTGGTTACATCACAATGGGTTCTATAGAGTCAGCAAGGAATGCAGTTTCTGCATTGGATGGAACAGTTGAGTGTGAACTAGCTACCCTTTTTTAATTATTATTCTTATTACCATTTCTCTATCTGGTTGACATATTGCCTGAAATTCGTTTACTATTTTGAAGGATGTGGGTGGCAGGGAAATGCGGGTTAGATATTCAGTAGAAATAAGTTCTAGGAGGAGGAACCCTGAGGCACTGAACTCAGCACCCACAAAATACCTATTTTATGAAAGTCCACATAAGTTGTACATTGGTAATCTTCCCTGGAGTACAAAACCTGACGAGTTGAGGAATCTATTTAACCAGTTCGGGATCGTGGTTAGTGCAAGGGTGTTGTCTGATCGTAAAGGAGGAAAGAACCGTACTTATGCGTTCCTTTCCTTTTCGTCTGCTGCAGAACGTGATGCTGCTCTTTCAATGAATGGAACAGTTAAGTTAGTTAACATCCCTTTTTTCGACTTTTTCTCTCTTCTTTTGCTTCATTTTGTCAATGTTACCCGTTAACTTGAATTTTTCTTTCAGGACTTCTATGATCGCATGCTAGTTGTTAAAAGAGGGGTTGAGAAACGGCCAAGCTCATACTGAAATTTTGCTGCTTGCATATGTGTAATGAGGTCTGGACGAATATGATGGCTCCAAGCATTCTCCTCGCTTGAAACATATTGGCATAGGGTTGGCGTTCTCAACCTTGTTCCTGCAAATTCGAGTTCTATATCTCACACTGAAGTTTGAGTACCCTTCAAAGTTTTGTAGGCATCAACTTTATATTAAAGTACATTGAGAAAATTTAACTAGATCTTAGTAAAGTTGAAGTTTTAGCTTCTTGGTAGGTGATTGCATATTCATTTGCTCTCATATACTATTTTGTTTTCTGAAAAAGCAGAGTATGTATGCTCTATCTTTCTCTATTTCTTAATTTCTGAATTTGGTCACTGAAGTGGTGATATTTTTCTAGTTTGCGATGATTTTAGGCTTATTACACCAAAAAAACACTAACTTTACATTTTTAATCATGCTAGCTTGTTTTTTCAATATTAGACAGAAAATACACAAACTGTATTTCTCTTAATCAGATTAGCCCATGTGATTTTTTTCAGCCAAAATTCTGTTAACCATATTAGTCCTTGCTGTCAATATTTTTTCCCTACCACGTCAGATGTAATAGAATTTTGGCTAAAGAAAATCGCACATGCTAATATAGTTAACAAAAATTTAGTTTGTATATTTTCTGTTAAACATTGAAAGATTGTGCTAATTTGATTAAAAAAATGTAAAGTTTGTGTTTTTCTAGGTACAATAAGCCATGATTTTAAGGTGTGGATTAGAAATAGGTACCCCGAACTGGGTTGCTAAGCTGGTAGTGTGTGTACACGAGGGAGTGGGAGAGAGATGATTCCAATGAATCACATTATCAGAATGATATGTTACCCGGCTTTCCCAGATTGGTACAGCATGGCCAAATATTTAAGCTTGCAACTTCCTGGAAATAATTTTGTATCATATGATTGATTACTTAACTGATTTTTTCTGCAAGACGCAAGTAACAGCAGTCAAAATTTTCGTTGGATTTGAGCATGGTATTGTTGTTCGTGCCAATTAGGCATGGTTCTTCAAACTGAAAACAATCATGTAAACCTTTTCCTACTGTGTTTTTTCAGAATCCAAACCACCATGGGAACTTGATTTTCTTGATTACACTATGTGTCATATGTGCTTTGCTCTTCTTATTCACTAATTATTATCGAGTTCTGTTACTAGTTAAAAGAACATTAACCCTAATGAACTATAATGCCAATGCTCTGGCCTAGTGACACCACACACCAGCTCGGGATTTTTTTTATTTATTTGTTTCTCGAGGGACGTGACATCATTAAACCCACGGCACGCAGGGTTGGGAAAGTTGCCATCTCCTAGGAGCAGGTATTGTATCCATTCATACATTTTGTAACGAGTAATCCACAAAGGAAATCACCATCAAGCAATGCAACAGTCTTAGAAGAATAATCATAAAATTAATATATAAACGGGATACGTCTGTTAACACCCATCAAATACAAAAGGAGTAATCCGCCATAGGCAATTGTGAATATATAGTTATATACCTGAACTAGAAATTTCAAAACGAAAAGAACCTATTCAGCAGCACAGAAAGAACATTCAGCATCTCCATTTTATTAATTTTCATAAGCCAAGATTTCTAATAACGAGTATCAAATGACAGAAGTCTGCCTTTGGAGGGAGAGTTGCAAGTAGTCCGCCTTCGACAGTAATGCAGACAAATAATAAAGAGAGACAGAGAAAGACTTACTGTATTAGAAAATCATCAACTTTACATTTTGTTTAATCATGTTAATTCGTTTTTTCAATTTTGAATGAAAAGATAATGAACTAAGTTTTTGATAACCATTTTAATATAAATTTGTAATGGTTGATAATTTTTTAATATAATTTTATTTGTTAATAAATTTGATTTTTTAATATATGAATTTTGGAATAAAATTTTAGAACATCAATATTTTATTTTTAAAAAATATATTATTCTAATTTATACAATAAGTTATTTTTATATTTTTAAATGAGTGTTTTATTTTTTAATATATATATATATATATATATATATATAGAGAGAGAGAGAGAGAGAGAGAGAGAAAAGTGTCTTTTAGATAGTTCAACTCAATTTTTTTAAAATAATAATGTGTTAAAAGATTCATAAGTTTTATTTATTTTTATATATAGATTTATTTATTCAGAATTTATCGAACCAACTTTGTTATAGTTTTTATTTTAATCTATTGACTTTAATATATTTCTATAATTTATGTAGGTTTATATATATATATATATATATATATATATATATATATATATATATTTGATTTATATTAATCAAAAAAATAAAACTTTCTATTAACATTACATCATACGAATTATTAACTCTACCTATTGAACAATTTTTTGCTTGCAACATAACGTAGGTATTTGACTAGTTCTCTCTCAAAAATCGTCGTTTCCTTCGCCACTAATCATCACCCGACTTGCCGTCGTCTCCCGCTCTCACAAACCCAATCGAAACCCATTAAAAACCATCTCTCCCACAACCACAAACCCACCAATTTTTTTCCCTCACACCCACAAATCCAGATTACTAAAGAATGCAAGTCACCTTTAACTAACTTTAAAACCGAGTCCTCGAGACCCGAAGGGTCCCATTTTCTTTCATTTTCCTTGTTCCGATGCTCATTTGATCGCGTGAAAGAAACAACCTTCCCTTGCTATTTCCCAACAAAAGGACTTGCATCCGCCTATAAAGGGATAACAACGCTAGCAGAACCATCCTCACCAAGCATCCTCCACTTTCTCCACACATCATCATCACATAATCATCAATTTAAAATGTGTTAAAAATAGGCCTAAAACCCAAATAAGACCCCATTTCTTTCGAGAAATCAAATAGATAAATGAGTTTAAGGGCTCTTTTTAACTAATTAAACAATTTTCCTCCGCAAGTCGTCATCAATTTGAAATGCATATTTTTGGGTTTAGATTTTTCTAGGATTTAATGTGTTTCTCGAAATGGGTTTCCGTTTAAGAAGAGTGGAGAGAGTTTCGGTTTGGTGGCTATTGTGGAGCTTGGTGTGGTGCGGGACGGTGGCATTTTAGACTTGAGGGCGCATGATTGTCCGTAGGTTATGAACTGTTGGTGGTTTCGGTGGGCGAGGGTTTCGCATTTGTGGGCGAGGTTGGTGTTCATACCTGGTTTGGGGCTATGAGGAGTGGCGATAGGGGTTAAAGGTGGAGATGACGACTGGAACTAATGACAAATTGTCACGACCCGAACCGACAAGCCGCGACCAGCACGTAGCTCGAGGTGGGGCGACCCACCACAGGCTACGTAAGCCTTAATCCTTTCTCTATTTCCTACGTAAATTTCGACAAGCATTTCCCCTATAATTGGACGATCCCAAAAATAATTTATCCTACATAAAAATCACCATAGATGTACACTTCCAAATCATCTTCACCAATTCTCAATCATCCTCAAGTCCCTCCATTGGACATCCACACTTTCTCATAAATCTCAATATTTACTAAATTGACAAAAATACACATAATCCAATATTTAACATAACCAAATTTTATAAATCACCATTTAACCATCCAAATACAAAATATGGAGACCCTTAACTAGCTATCCCTGGATTTGGTGATGCTACCAACAGAGCAACTAAGTGAAATAAAATACACAATGACTAATTACAATTCCAAAATGGACAATGAATACAAATTTAAAACAACCATGTCCTATACCCGGAGGAAGTAAAATAATATCCGGTAGTACCTTCAAATCCGTAAAATCTATCGTCCTCCTTCTATGATCTAGCTTCGTATTATCTATAAAATATTTGGGGTTGGGGGTGAGTTTTCAAAACTCAATAAGCATAACACCTATTATAAATCGCTATACATACAATTATACCAATGCACATATCGTACATGATTTGCCACCAAGCGAGCAATCAATAACTTTTTCTTTTTCTTTCTTTCGTAACAATTAATAATAGCATAACAATTTCTTGAAATCACTCTATGCAAAACCGTCTATTCATTTGGCCCTCAAAAGGGTAATTATGGCCCTCGTAAGGGTAACGTCAAACTCTAGCCCCCGCAAGGGTAAACTCGAGGGAAGCACTACGGCCATTCCCTAGCCGCGAATACTAGGTGCACCTAGGCTAACTATAACCCCGTTAGCTTAGTTAGTCCCGCATAGACTTCTTTCAAGTCATCAATCTCATTATTATCATTCAACACATAGCAATCACACAATTCCATTTAATGCAAGTGATCATCATATCAACATGCACATATACCATTCAATGTATCAATATTCCTTTAATAACTATAATTCATACGGCAACATACCAATTCAATTCATCTATACTAAAATAATTCAATTCACATGCAATTATTATTATTATTATTTGTTTTAATAATTAAGCATTTATCCAAACAATCAATTTTTCACCTCACAAGCAATATAGACATATATGATAGTAAAGACTCATAATAGATGTTATACTTACCTCTAATCTAGAGGAACACCCTAAATTATAATTGTCTCTTCCTTAAGCGAGCTTCTTCCACCAAATCCTCTCTTACCTCTATCATCATAAATTTGCATTCATTAATAATAACAATAATTAGACACTAATAAATTGAAATTCAAGCTTAATTGGGCCCTAATTAACCCATTCACTCATTTTCCTCAAATTTTCCTAAGCTAACATAAACCCTAATTTTAATTAAACCTAATCCCTAATTCAAATTCTTAATTCAAGAATGAAATTTACTAAATTACCTATAACCCATCCTAATTAAGGTTATAATTAAGGTTATAATTAACTAAAACATTCAAAAAAATCCAAAAACTCACTTAATAAATCTTTTTCCTTCTTCCTTATTTCACCTCTTTTTACCTTCATTTTTCTTCTCCTTACTTGAGTCACTCCACCACCGCCGTCGTCGGAGCCGTCGCCGGAGTGGGTGGTCGCCGGCGAGTCTTCTTCTTCCTCTCCTTCCTTCTCCTC